TTCTCTCTTCTCTCTCTCTGCCTCCTTATTCTTTTGCTTTTCCTTTTCATCTTTACCTCCCCCTCCTTTTCCTCCTCCATTTCCCCCTCTCCTTCTCCTTCTCCGTCTCTTTCTCTTTCCTCTCCCCCTCCTAAAGGTCCTGCTTCAGAGAGCCTCCTGTCAGCCGCGGTCCCGAGAGAAGTGATTTGCGAGCGAGGCCGGCGTGGAAGCGGCTGCATATGGGCACAAGTGGCGTGTCCAAGAGTGGAGTTGGAGTGCGAACCAAAGGAGTGACGAGCAAGTGTAAGTGGGCCTACCACAGCGCACGTGATCCAGGCAAGTAGACCACCACCACCTGGCTACCACAACCCAACTACACCTTACAGCTTGATCACGTCGGCTGAGTCATAGGCCGCAACGCCACTCGCATTCAGCATGAGTTCTGACCTTAAATGCCTTGTCCAAGAAAGAAATGCAGGGAAAGATGTGCAGCTCTCGCTTCTGTTCGTCTGGTTCTAATAATATCTGTGATCTTTTTTCTATCCCGCATCTGTGTTTATATTTTAGACAGATACATGTATACATACATACGGTCAGGTTAGCGCACGCGCACACGCACGCACACACACATACAAACATATATATATATATATATATATATATATATATATATATATATATATACAGATTTCATATATATATTATTCTGCAAAGACCAGGCTTAAAACCGACGAAAGTTACCAACGAAGACCACAACTTTGACAAGAATGTTGAGGATCGTAAACTTGGGTCAAAAAAAATAATAAAAAAATAAAAAAAAATCTAGGACTTACTGAGAGCCACGGGTAGGCGTTAGTCGCCTGGAGGCGTTCCAGTATGGGCTGCCGGGGTATCGGGGGCGCTGCCTGAGGCGATGAGGCGGTGGGCGACCCTCCGGGCGGCTCCTGATACTCCCGAAATTTGGTCAAATCGAACTTGGAGGGCGGGCATCGCGTCGAGGGCGTCGGAGGGAGAGAGGCCGAGCCGGGCGTGGTTGGAGCGGCGAGAGGGCGTCGTGGGCGGCAGAGAGGCGCAAGAGGGCGAGGTGGGAGTATCGGGAGGGTTCGACCTGGGCTTGGGCGACACCGGAGACGTGGGCAGCTTGAGGGCCTGCGTGGGCGCCGTGAGCTGGGCGGGCAGGGTGAGGACGGCACCGAGCTCCCTGGGAGGGCTGGAGAGCACCAGGCCCATGCGGCGCTCCCGCAAGTGGGTACGGGGCACGGGCGACGCAGGGATGGGCGCGGGCGTGAGCGGCGGGCATGGAGCACCCGCAGCTTGACTGGCCCCCCGGTGCCATGTCCGTGACCAGAGTGTAGCCACCCCCGAGGCCGGGCCCTGGCATCACCGTGGCGTTTGGGCGCGCGCTCACTCCGGGCTGGGCACGGCCGACTACCCCGGCTGCACCATCCTCGTACGTCGGGGTAACGTCGCCCCGCAGATGGTCGCCCTCTGATGGACCCGCTCGTCAAGCACTGAAGGCACACACTGAAGTCACCTCTGAGATCGTGAACATAAGCGTTTATCAACTCGTATCTCAAAGTATTTATCCACTGAACCTCAGGCGAGCGCAGAGTTCTCACTTCAACACCACGGGGGAAAAAATCACTGTCACTTCACCAGAAAACATCAACAACAACACCAGAAGCTCGAGAGTCCGCCAGGAGACGATGTTGCCAGCGTTCGGACGTCCGGACAACTGACGACTGGTGCCGGCCGGACCTGGCGCCGCACCCGCTCCGCCTGGCACCGAGCGCTTCCCTCGCCCCTCCTACCACGCTGCCACGCTCCTCGCTCGCCTGCACCCGCCGCGGATTTCCCATTCATTCATGTTCATTTCATTCACACCCTTGCGTGAATGCAGAGGCGGTTTACTCATAAATAACTTGATTTGACATTTAAATTGAAGTACGTCATGTTTTTCCTCCATTTTTTTCCTAACGCTGGATGGATGTGGGTTTTCCCTTCATACACCCTTCATACATCCTGTAAAACATCCATGTTCTCTTCCTACAGTGTATCTACTGCTTGTCATTCTCACATCTTATATACTGTTTGATTTACACAAAAGGATTACATTATTATGTGATATTTACTATATTTTTAAAAATAGAAAGCGGAAGATAAACTCGACCAATAGACCGTTTTTTTCAATCCGTCTGCATAAAAACTGTCAAAGCGAGCCACGCGCCAACACTGCGCGCTTAAGACATTGTTTACTCTTACTTTATTTTGGGAAAAAATTCAGACGATAAGAAACACCTCCAAAAAAGAAAAATCAAAAGAAAAAAAATATTCTCATCCACACGCAAGACAAGGCACAGTTTGCGTAATTTGTCATAAATCAACCTCGGCAGCTAACTGAACGTGCCGTCAGGTAAGACCTAAGGAGAGGCGCACTTACTGCGAATTATTAAGACATACGAACCGCTCCTGAGTAAAAGGAAGGAGTGTGGGGAAGGGGGGCGCCATTGTATATAATCCGACATCTGCTATTAGCGTTTTTATCGAGCCCCTGTCGCGTTTCTAAAAGCAGGTGCGATGGTTCAGCCTTGTTCGATCATGATTACGTGTACCTCTTCTGTTAGCGTTCCGCCATCTTTCTTTTTTATGTCTCTCCCTGTGTCATTTCCTTCCGCCCGGACTCATGGCTGGCATTTCTTCTCTCTCTCTTTCTCTCCCCTGCGGTTGTGCGACACTGTGCGGTTCGTAACAACGGAAATATTACCAATATCTCTTACAGTACAGTCATCAGCATCTATAAACACGATGGTATGCACTTTTATGGCGTTACTCAGTGAGTTGTAAAATACGCAAATCTAATACCATTACGTCATTTGATCGCCATCCTCCTGCGTTACATATAACACTCTAACAAATGAAAAGACGTCAGCATCCGACATACGAATCCCAACTCGACAGAGAACTTCCTCGCCGATCGCATTGACAAACTCTACGGACACAACGCATACATTTCCGTATTCGTCGGCGGTGTAATAAATGACACATTGCGGCTTTACAGTGAATCATATCCGATCACTTTCTCAGCTGATATACGATGCTCTATTTCATCAACACGAGTGACTCACGGAAAGATTCTCGTGCTTTTGTTTACATTTACAACCATATGGATGTTCGATTTTCTAGGATGAACTGGACATTTCAACTCTATCAGAAATCATAACTTTTATAATTATGCATCTCAGTTATCGATCTGATGTGTTATATATATGCCACAAACATAAGTGTTCGCGTTCTTTAACTTTCAGTAAATCTTTAATTATATAAATAATCTTTCAAATTAATATTCACCTATCTTGTTTCGTAACACGATTTAATAGCCTTATAAACGTAATATATAAATAACAACAATAAAACTCTAAATAACAAAAATACGATAATACACATTTCTCCTTTCTCTGGCACATGAGAAAACGGGGCAAGTGCAACATCTCGCCGCAATTATCTGCAAGTACAGTCGGAAAATTAACCGTTAAAACGCAGAATCGGCGCTTTTACATCGCTTATAATGGTGGCAGTTTAAACGTTTAAAGGATAAAAAATACGACTCTGTATTTTGGTTAATGAATATGTAAACGCTGCTCTGAAACTCCACCTTTCGCCATCTGCCTCTCAGTACCTACCGCTGCGCCCACAGGGAGGTTCCCAAGGTGGTGTGTGTGTGTGTGTGTGTGTGTGTGTGTGTGTGTGTGTGTGTGTGTGTGTGTGTGTGTGTGTGTGTGTGTGTGTGTGTGTGTGTGTGTGTGTGTGTGTGTGTGTGTGTGCCTATGGACGGGTTGCATGTGGATATGGAAATGTACGTCTGCGCGTGTGCGTGCGAGTCAGTCCATGTGTGCGTGTGCATACCTATGTATCCATGTACGCAAGCACGAGAGTATGCACGTGTACATGAGCATATGTGCGTGTATGTTCCTTTCCGTCCGTGCTTCTGCCTGAACCTCCAGTCACTTTCCCTTCTCCCGCTGTATCGCATTAACCGCAGACATGTCCATATCCGAGATGCTGTCGCCCGCTGTCGCTTTCCATCTCACTCCCCATTTCGCCTTCCTGTTTCCACCGTGATCTAATCTCCGCTTGTAAGAACTCGAGTCGTGAATCTGCATATCATCCGAATCTACACTTCGGTGTGCTGTAATAATTTAATTCTTATCTAATCGTCTCGGCCATTTCTTCTTTTTTC